CGGGATAGTAGCACCTGTTAAAGTCCCAGCTATGGTAAAATAGTGAACACACAAACAAAAGCAAAACACTATGAAAGTATAAAAATGTATTTATAGTAAAATTACCAGCAAAGCATATTTATAGTAAAACTACCAACAATGCATTTTTAAACTGTGATGTTAATCACACTTTAAGAATGTCCATGTTGTCTACGTTTATAATGAGATTACCAAAAATGCATTTTTATGGCGAAATGACCAACAAATACATTTTATCTGTAGTTGAAATGAAACGGCGAAAAGCCGACTTTTTGTGGATGAATGAGAAATCTAGGAGAGTGAGTGATGGTAAAGAATTAAAACTTACTAAGAGCATCAGTTATTTAGTTGATTTGTTTAACAGCATATCAACAACTTATGGGTCATTTAATGCTGAAACTTAATTTTCTTGGGAGCTTTGACGTAATAGAAATATGATATGTTATTCTGCTTTCACAATTGAATACATGGTAGATGATACTTTTTGCTTCATATACAAATTGGTATGGAGGCACCTCGAAGCGGTGTAATGGTTAGCAAGCTTGTCGCGCTAGGACAATTTCGACTGAGTAGTGAATTCGGTCCTCACTGGGTGCCACCTACATTCGGCCTCGTGCCACATCTAAGCTACGCTTTTAAAATCACTATACAAATTGGTGTGGCCATAGTTACTAGAGGCAGTGTGGATATAATTACTAGATGTATGCATTATGTTGTTCGCCCGGCCGATTTTTCGGCTGGGGTTTTTGACAAATATTGGATCGTTTCTTGGCCTATGGCTGAGATTCGATCAAGGCTTTGACTAGCTTGGACTGGCTCCGGCCTGAACCTGTTAGGACAAGTCATGACCAGCTTTGACTAGGCTCTGACCAGCTTGGACAAGCTATGACCAATTTTGACCAGTGGCCTTTGAGTGGAAACGCTCGGGTCTCCCACGTTAATCGACCTTGTGTCACATCTTGATTTTGTGGGAATCAAGTAAATACCATTATGTTGTTATATTTTTAAGTTATATTGTGGAATACAATTATAGTTGTAGGATATATAATATGGATTAATGCCATGAAAGAACTCATGTTGTTTTTTTTTTGTTTATTTAAATTAACGGCATATAAACCACTATGGGTTTAATGCTGAAATATAAATAATTTGAACACAATTTTATGGCTTCAACAAAATATATTTTGAACGCAGTTGTATGCCTTCAAGTACAGATAAAATGTATTGCTGGTCATATATTGTTGCTCTTTTTATATATTATTGTGAGACCGGAACTAGCTACACAATAGACTCTTCCAGGTCTATATTAAGTATGCGACACAACACTCTAGAGAGACTCAGAGAGACAGAGACAGTGAGAGTCTAGTACGACTACAAGTATTGGATACTAACATATAGTAAGCTCCGCTTACACTATCTCTGTAACCTGTTGTTAATATATCTTTCTTACATCTAATCCGTGCTCCGTGTTTTACTTCTGTGGTCCCAACATTGGCCCCACATCATATATATAAATGTATTGCTTGTATTTTTTACTATGAAAACGTATTTTAAATCTTTCATAGTGTTTTTGTTTGGGGCGATTCACTGTTTGCCTGGGACCTTAGTAGGTGCTACGATCTCACGTCAGGGTGGGCATGGGAACTACAGCAATTAAGAGGTATTTCCAGACTCTTAAAAACCTCCAGTCTTCAGATAAGTCTTGCTGCCACGTGTAGTTTATCGTTATATCCAAGATTTACTAAGAGCAAAAACAGACACGAGGTTGGGAGTTGCTATGCTCATCCACGTTAGAAAAAATGAAAACAAAGAGTGCTAAACTGTTATCCAATATCAATCATCTTATATGGCAGTAAGTACTAGATATTTACCTTATAAATGAAGAGTGAACTTGAGGCAACAGAGATGTGGCTCGATAGAAAAGAGCTGAAGATATTATGGTTGCAACCTGTGAGCAACGAGAAAGCTTTAATAAAAAAAATACGAGCAAAAATACACTTGTATTTAGAATCAGAGAGATACTATTGAAATTTCTGGGATATTATGAGGAAAGATGGCTTGGAGAATTTGACACTTACAGGACATCAATTAAACTGCTTTACAATTTTGTGTAGATTGTTAAGCAGTTTACTCGATGTTTTTATTTGCCCCTATTGCCTTTAATATGTCCAGTGAGTGTCAAATTCTCCGAGCCATCTTTTCCCATAATATTGAATAAACTGCTTAACAATCTACACAAACTTATGGATGGCGTAATAGAGACTGGGAAGAAATTGGACAAGCATTGCTCAGAGCTGCAAAGGAATAGGAAGTTGTGAAGAGTTATTGTTCCTGACGTCCCGAAAGAACGTGGCCCATAAAAATAGACGCTCAATCTGAAAATTCAAAACGAATAATTAATCAAACAAAAACTCAGTGCTCATAATTTTCTCCTGCCGAGAAGTACTTTGTTTGTGTAAAAATTTCCCAGGGTAGGTAGAGTAGAGGGAAAGTCAGTGGGCAGCAATGAGGAACGTTAGAAACCTTATTGGTATTTGTCTATTTTCCTTAAGCAAAATCCACCTCATACGTAGTTTCCGAGATGAATAGTTATGTTTAATTTCATTATTTACACGCGATCTATTGTCCTCATCTTTGTTGTTATTGTCACAACATTTCGGCTGTTGAGCCCTCCAACCTTCATCAAGTAATCATCGGAGAATTTCGAAGTGAACACTCTGTTTAAATTGTAGATTGTTCTGTCGAGAGATATGTCATTTACAATATTTCTTGAGTCTAATTCGATCTCGTATTTCTGAAGCTAAAAACACGGAAAACATTACATCTTTGAGTGTAAGACAACCCCGAAGAACAGCTATCTTTAAGTAAATATTTTTTTGTAATTTGTACCATATTATTCATTCAAACATCAATGTCGTCCATATATTTCAGTAAAATATTTATCTCTTCACAATATTAAAGAATAGAAATGAACCGGATGTTTACCTATTGCGTATTTGATTTAATTTCCGTTTCAAAATTTATTTTCGAATTCTCGGAGAAAGGTGCTAATTAGACATACTCGTAATGCAGTTGAAGGTGTTAATTCAGCTATCATATTTATCTGTTTGATATGATTTTAGTATATTTCTATATATTAAGAAACTATGAAAGTAAAAAAAAGAAAATAAATAAGAAAGAAAATTATATTAAAAATGAAGAGAAAAAACTCAAAATATAAACAAATTTCAACTTGAGGCAAAATTGAATCTAATAGGCAATAGTTTCAAAGAAGAGTTTTTTTAAGTTAAAAAAGGGGTGTTCGATCCACTTTTTCACCTTTAATTTTCGTTCAAATTTCTCGTATTATGCAGAAGAAAATAATGTAGTTCTTGCTGCTCGCCGTTTTTTCAATGAGTCGAAATCGGCACTGCCTGTGCCAGTGATTGAACTCACAGATACTATGTCACCAAGTTCACGAACCGAAGTTTTAAGTTATTTTCTCATGGGTCAATTCTGAGTGTGGAAGTTGGAGCCTTAAACCTAATCTTACTGGTGTTTAGATATTATTTCTCCTAAATAATATAAATAACCTTGATGGAATAGATCTTCTTTTCTTCTTTTTCTTCTATGCGCGTGACTCTTCAGAACATAGACGACTATGGCTCTCCACAATTTCCTATACTTTGTATAATTTAGTAAAGTTTGCCTGTTTTGCTATCTCTCCTAATCCCTGTTTTTCCAACCATTTACAAAAGTTCGTTAGACAGTTTATGCACTGCTTTCCTTCGCTCGTCTGCTTTTTATATGCCCTGTGAGTATCAAATATTCCAAGCCCACTTTCCTTATTAGATGCCCTAGAAATTTATGTTTTTTCCTGATGCTAACTGTACGTTTTGTTTTTACTTCCTTTGAAACTTCACCGTTGCTCACAAGGACTGATATTACATAAAAGTCACATACCCTTTGTTCCAAACAAAATTTTTCTGTTTCTTAATACTTTGCTTAGCTTTTGGAAGGCATTTTTTTGCTGTCCGAATGCGTCTTCGGATATCGGTGTCGCATTTTCCGTCCTCCGTTGACGACGGCGAATATTTGTTTCTGTATAACCACAATATCCTGTGTAACAATTTACATAATAATTAGGTCGAATGCATGTTTCAATGTATTTGTTTAATAAATCCTTATTCTAATATCACGGGTTTCATAAACGTCTACTTTATATATTAAAAAAAATATACTGAATGGAATTTGTAGGTTGATAATTTGGCGGGGTTCTTAAATAATATGGCGGTTGCAGAGAACAGAATAAGGAAAAGTAAGTGATTGTGTCGGAGAAGGAGTTGTAAATTGGAGCCGTTTGTTATGAGGTGAAATGTGACGCATTGATCGGTCGGCCATTTTATTTTGGCAATAGACCAACGCGTGACATTAAACAAGCAAATATTTGAAAAAGAAACGCGCCAGATCGGGAGCTGGTGAGTCAGTTGGTGAAGAAGAAGAAGAAGAAGAAGAAGAAGAAGAAGAAGAGAGAGCGAGTGGGATGTGGGTAGTAAGAAGCGACTAGGCGAATTTGTCGTCAAAGAAGGATGAATGGATTTCTTGATCTGGTGACACTTAACAAATTAAAGAGAGAAAAAAGACTTTTTTCCGTTATTTATTTGCAGACGCGACGCGTTTTTTCTTTCAACAATTGTTCCACTTTAAGTTTTTGTTCTTTCTTTTTAAACATTCAATATTATCCTTTCTCCAGCACCAAATTAAAATTATTTTAAGGCACCACATCGCTGTGTCGTGGTTAACAAGCTAGACTTCTAGAACATTAGTAGTGAGATCGATCCTTACTAGGTGTCTTATACTTGTGGTCTTGTGCAAAAATTAAGCTACTCTTGGTAACTGGCGCATTGGAAGTCTTTTTTTTTTATTTACCATTTTTGAATTTTAATGAATATTCGACATTTGACTTTTATTTAATCTTAAATAAAATTTAATTTGTTTGCTAGCCTTCTTCCATTCTTTATTTTTCTTTTTGTTTCGTTCCTTTTCTCATTCTTTTTCTTCCATCGCTTTCTTTTTCTTTTCGAGTCATTTGTTTCTTTTCGTTATTTAAAAGTTCTTTTTCTTCTTTTTCTTTTCGTTTCATTACTTTTGTTTCTTTTCCTTTTTTTGACAGTACGATTTTTCTTTCTTCCCTTCTTTCTTTCTTGAAACATTTACGTGCCTTCTTTCGCCTGTTTAAATTTGACTAGTTTGCTTTTTTTTAATCTATTTTAATGCAAGACTTTGGTATCTTCCTTTCTTTTTATTTTCCTTCTTTTGTCCGCTGTTTATATTTTATTTAATTTCTTTTTGTGCTACTTGTTTTTTTCTTTAACTGTCTTCGCTTTTCTTTCTTTCTTTCTTTTCATTTTTGACAGTTCACTCTTATCTTCTTTCTTTCTTTCCTTCCATTTCCTTCCCTTTTCGTATCGTCTCTTTCTTAACAACTCTTTTTTTTAAACAGTTCTCCCTTTCTTTCTTTCTTTCTTTCTTTCTTTCTTTCTTTCTTTTTTTCTTTCTTTCTTTCTTTCTTTTACTGCTCTTTCGTTTTTTTTTTTTTTTTCCTTTTTGACAGGTCTTTCTTTTAATTTCTTTAAAACCGATATTGATATACACAACCGGAGATGAATGCGTCAATGTCTTACCGAATTGATAGATAAACGCATCCGGGGCGTGTCATAAACTCGGGAAATTTCCCCTTACTCACAATCAACTGGGTGTGGCGTCTTTCCATATCCTACTTTTTCTCAGTCTCTCGAACAAGACTGAAATTGATACGCACAAATCAAAAGCTCTCTCTCTCTCTCTCTTCCCTCTCTCCCTCTCCCTCCTCACTTTCTCTTTATCTGACGGTTTTTACCCTTTCGTCAGGTCCGGCATAAACGCTTCCACTATACACAGCAAAATATGAGTTACTTAAGTAGGTTAGGTAGAATAATACTTTGAACACATTAACAGCACATTTTTAATATTCTCTCTACTTTTGATCAAAAATACATGTGCTTAGATAACGGATAGATATGAACAGACTGACATTTATAGATAGATAGATAGATAGATAGATATGGACAGAGATCTTACCAGACTGAGATAGATAAATCTGGCCAGACTGAGATAGATAGACAGATGTGGACAGACAGATATAGAGAAATATGAGTAGACTGAGATAGATAAATAAATATAAACAGACTGTAATAGACAGATAGATAGATATGAATAGAAAGATATAGATATGAACAGAATGAGATAGATAGATAGATAGATAGATAGATAGATAGATAAAGTTAAGGTGGTATATATATATATATATATATATATATATATAAAAGTGGATAGAACAACACTGTTTTAAGTGAAAGTATTTATATCCGGTAATTTCCCTAACAAAACCTCGATCTGACTTACAAAATCGAGCAATATTCCTGCTATTTGAACACGTCACAGAAGGTGGCATCGCAGTATCATTTTGATCAACCATATTTCAACATTCAGATAGCTAGATAGATAGGTAGAAAGAGAGAATGAGAGAGTGAGAGAGAGAGAGAGAGAGAGAAAGAGAGAAATAATGAACTGACTTAGAACTGTACAGATTCAGATATGAACAGACGTAAAAACAGATATGGAAAAACTCAGACAGATGAAATCGAGTTTGAGAGGAATAAAGCTAACGCTATGTAAACAAGAATATATAAGAGTACAGATATTTCGACAAACAGACAACTAAAATAAAGACAAATTAAACTAAACTAAAACTAAAGATTTAATCTTTGAAGACTCGGGTACATGTCATATAAAAATCATTCTACTTTGTACCAACCTGTGGTGCGTGAAAGGCATTCGAATATTGTCTGAAACTGCTTATGCTTAAGGATACGTTGCATATATTACTAAAAAACTATATATTATTAAAAAAAAGAATAAGAAAAAAAAAGAATAAGCAAAAAGTTTGGCATAATAAAGCGTAACAAATGTCCAGTAGATTGGAATATATATATATATATATATATATATATATATATATATATATATATATATATATATATATATATATATATATATATATATATATATATATATATATATGAAAATTTCTCCGATTTAATCGGTAGAGAAGACAATATTTATGAATATTTATGACTACACTCATAAAAAAAGAAAATAACTCACTCAGAAGGAAAATTCTGGAGAGTGCCGCCATAGAAAATTATCCAAATATTAATTTACGCCCAGGCTTTTTCCCTATTTCACCTTTCTTAACAAAATTAATACTCTTACAAACAAATATGCACAACAGATTCATAAAATCGAAAGAAAATGGCTGAATACATCAACACAGATATAATGACAATATTCTCCACACGTGACAATCTCTGACGTTATTTTTCAGTTAAAAAATATGAAAATAGCGTTTCTCTACATTCCAGTTGCTAGGTACATTCTGTTTTTGTTTTTATTAGTTACTTTGTTCATTTAATTTTATTTTCGTATTTTGCTTTGATAAAGTCCACATTGGACGAAAAAACGCGTCAGCAATTACCAGTTTTCCTATTGTCATTTTTATTCATATATATATATATATATATATATATATATATATATATATATATATATATATATATCATACAGTTGGAATTAAGATACCATTATGTAAGTGATCATTTTCGCCTTGTAAGATTAAATTTGTAGGATACATAAACTTAAATTTACAGGATCTGCAAATTTAATTTTACAAGGTGAAAATGATCACTTACATTATGGTATCTTAATTTCGATTGTATGAAATATATTGGTCTGTTTATTATATATATATATATATATCTTCAGATCAAGCCGTCTCGTATATATATATATATATATATATATATATATATATATAGCCGGCTTGATCTGAAGAACTGTTTACGTGAAACCTAGGTAGGTTTTCCTGGCTCTTTAGGAAGGATTTATTGTAGTTATTCCCGCTCTACAGTGTATTGAGCACTCTACGTTTAGTCTTACTACTTGCTTGGGTTTTTTTCTTCTTTGGACTAAAGACTTAAGGCACTGGACTATTTGAGTCGCCCTGTTCTGATGTTTTTAGTTCATTATTTTTTGCAATTTTTTCTCGGGTATAATTAGTGTTATCCGAGTACTATTAGTATTTATCTAATCTACTATCTATAATACTATATATATATATATATATATATATATATATATATATATATATATATATATATATTCCAAACAGTATATATATATATATTTTTTATAACGATATATATATATATATATATATATATATATATATATATTACAAACGAGTATTACTATTAGTATCTATCTCTATCTATCTATATATATATATATATATATATATATATACATATTACTATTAGTATCTCTCTCTCTATATATATATCTATATATCTATATATATCTCTATATATAGATATCTCTCTATATATATATATATATATATATATATATATATATATATATATGTATATATATATATATATATATATATATATATATATATATATATATATATATATATAAATAAAAACTGGATACTGATTAACACCAAGCGGCGACAGTCAATTTTATGCTTCAACGCAATCTTCAGGACATGTGTGTTGTGTTTTGGGTCTATTTCTATATGGTGACCAGTGGTGAATTGTGGGTAGTAAGGTCTATTTTATTATCCTGATAGTTATTGTGTGAGCGGTAACGGCTATGTTTTAATTTATTCTAGAAGTTATTGAGTTGAAATAATTATGAATCCGAATGCGGTTATATTAATGAGCAGGGAGAGGCATTAGATAGCGATTGGCATTGCGTTTAAATTTTGCAGTTTAAAATTGTCTGGAAAGTCTGAAGCCGGAAGGAAGTTTCACAAGCGAGGAGTGTGAATAAACAGACTGTTATCCTAGAACTTACCGTTACATCTACCTAGCTCAACTGTAAATTGATGAGATCTCGACGACATTCTAGTAATATGCTTAAATTCATACCGTCTAGGTACCATATTTATAAAAAAAAGGCACCAAGAGGCAACCTTACGGCGGTGGGAAAGCAACTGAAGCCAAGCCGCCAGATCAGGACCAATAATATTGCTGATTCTTCTTTGGATTTTATCAAGAAGCTCAAGGTGTACAGTAAGGTCACCGGACCATATGTAGCAACAATGTTCTAAGCATGGACAAATGGTAGACTTATAGATATATTCAAGATAGATTCCACAGAGATAAGTTGTCTCGCTCAAACACAGCGAAACGACTTTCTTAGAAGCTGACCTAAATGAATTCAATATAGTCTTTCCACTTGATGTCAGCTGAGAACGTTAGCCTTAGGACGAACAATGAGTTACTTTTTTGGAGGTTAGCATCAGCCATACTGATGGAAGGCAGCAAAGGATCCCTCAAATGATTAGACAAGTTTAGCTTTGGAGCTATTAAAATTGACAAAATTTCCCTAGTTTACGACGGAGTTGATGTCATTTTGGACATTGGCTACCATTTTAACCTTGTCGGACCGATCAGCTTTACAATCGAGGCAGGAGTAAATGGTTGAGTGGTCAGCGTAGATGCCAATTTGAGAGGTGATGTCATCGGAAAGGTCGTTAATGAAAATTGAAAACTGCGTAGGAACAAGGATGGAGCTCAGTGGGGATATCCGTGTTAGTTCGAAAGGATCGAGTGGCCGTTCAGAACTTTCATTTCTTGATTTGATAGGAAATACTGGATCACCTCAAAAATGTGTCCGGAGAAACGGTAACTTTTCAGCTTGTGGAGCGGGCCTGTATATTATCTAGAGCATAATACTCTCTTTTCGCAATTAGAACATCAGCAGTTGACCTGGAGAAACGAAAACAACATTGATTGTTTGAGAAAAGGCCCTGCAATGAGACATGGGGAGCCAATTCAGTATTGATTAGGGCCTCTAGGGGTTTCCCAAAGAGACGTATATATATATATATATATATATATATATATATATATATATATATATATATATATATATACCTTTTCTATGCATTCATCAATAACATTCATCCAGTTCTTAAGTTTACACTGGACAAGGGAACGAATTCTTCTTTTCTCTTTCTTAACGTTCTTGCATGTAGATCTTCTGGTTTCCTTACTTCGAAAACCGACCTTTACTGGTCGGGACTCTTTTTGTCTCAGGAAGCAAAAGCTTAATTTAATTAAGACCTTTACACATAGGACCTTAATGATTTGTTCTAAGACCAAGCTGGATGATAAGATCAAGTTTATTACCATGACCATCTGTAACAATGTCTATCCATTAGACAGTGTTCAATTTGTTTTAAGTAATAAAATTTCGGATTTTCATAAAATGGAACCTGTTTCTGTGCATAGATATCCAGTTTATTTGCGTCTTCCCACGCTAGATAACATTAGCGATAGATACACGAAGCAAATCCCATTGGCTGTACAACAGTTCTATTTTACCTCTAACACACGTGTCGTAGTTCTAATTATTTACCTTCGGACGTTCTGAATAATAACTACGCATCCTCAATGGCTGAACATCTTATAAATCATTGGAATTACGCTTTTAATATCAGCGTTGAGTGTTTTTCCATCCTTAGCAAGTCGCACTCTAGTTACCATATAAAGTATTGGAGGCTATGTTCATTAAAGTTAAGAGACCTTCCCTTTGTGAGCAGAAGTATTTTTCATTTGGCTTTCTTGTACTTTCAATTTAATCATTTTTTTCTACCTTCCTTTCTATTTCACTTTATATATATATATATATATATATATATATATATATATATATTTTTCTGTAGTTTAGTGCTAACAGCAAGCAGAAATATTTCTCCTCCCCGATGATGGCCATTTGGGTCGAAACTAGTCGAGGAATCTAAATGGAATAATAATAATATAAAAACGAAAGAATATTAATCTACAACCCAGTGTGTCTAAAGATTTTAATTTTTAATTTTTTTATTTTTTATATATATATATATATATATATATATATATATATATATATATATATATATAGGGCGACCCCAAAAACGGAACTATTTAACAATCCAATAAAACCAAGAGTAATGGAGGAAAAATATTTTATTCATAGTAATTGAAACCTTAAAATATGTCATTTAAGAAACAATGATGGAATTTTCATTTTTTTAAAAATTAAATCCTGTAGATTGCGTCCTCCTGTACGAATGCATTCTTGAAATCTGCTGTTGAGATTCCTCATTGACTGCTGCAACATCTCAGCTGGGATACTGTGAATTTCATCTTGAATTCTAAATGGCAAAATGTTTACTTGCTCAAGGTCTCTGTCTCGCAGTGTTGCCACTTGCTCATGCCTGGCAATACGCACTTCAAAAATTCACATTTTTTGGGGTCACCCTGTATATATATATATATATATATATATATATATATGAAAAATTTTCAGAGTTTGCCTGTATAAATGACAATATGTATAAAGACAATAGGAAAACTGTATTATTAGCCGATGGGTTTTGTCCAATGTGAACTTTTTCAAGACAAAAGCAAAATGAATTTATTGAAAACAAAGTAACTAGTAGCAAGAAATAAAATGTCCTTTTCAACTAAAAGAATTTAGAAAACGCTTCTGCATTCATATTATCAACTGAAAATCACGTCAAGGTGTTTTCATCAATGGCCTTCCGAACCTGTTCCCTACTAGCTATTATACAGATGACACAATCATTTACTCCTATCTTTGTAGCAAGTCCGACAGACCCGACAATGTACACCTGGTAACTACTCTCAAATAAGACGTACAATCAGTGATTAACTTGGGCAAGAAAGGGCTTGGAAAGTTTAACGCTTCCAAAACTACTTTCATTTAATCACCACAGAAAGTTTTTTTTTCTGCTTTTCATTAGCACGTTTAATGCTAAACTCCAGGAGAGCAACACTCAACTTGAGCTTATGTTGTCCACTGACATGAAGGGAAATAACTATATTTAATCAATGACTATGTTTACTGCTAGGGAAATTTGTTTACTGTGTTTTGCCTGGATAGTTTTAACGTCAGAATCCATATTGCAAATTTATAAATCTACCATTCCTCCGTGCATCGAATACTGTTGTCAAATCTGGCCTGGGGTTCCTGCTGTATATCTCGAGATTCTTGACAAAATTCAAAGAAGGGTTTTATTGTAACCAATCCTGATCAAGCATCTTGAATTCAGTCACTTTGTCAACGATGTGACATGGTTTCCCTCTGTTTTTTTTTTCTACTGATATTTTCATGGCAAATATTCTGATGAGCTTTTGTCGCTAGTGCGCCGTCGACATGAATTTAAGCGTGCGACTAGATTGGCAACTAGGTCTCACCGTTTTACTGTGGAAATAGCTGGATGCAACCGTCACTTCTATTCTAACAGTTTCTTTTTTCGCATTTTTCACTTGTGAACCTCCCTTCTGATTTATCGCTCCCCTACCACCTACAATCTTCAAAAGTTCAAATGTAACGTCAATCGTCATCCGTCTTCCCTTTATTGCTCTTCTCATTCTCTTTCACTTTCTGCGTTCTAGTGGCATTATCGACTTGCTTGGAGCGAAAGGAAAAGAGATATAAGTTTCCTCTTTGTTCCCATTTTTCCTAAAACTTTCTAGTTGCTCATATGTGATATTCCCAGACATCTGTACACTTCCAAATTCGCTGCGATATAGGAAGAATGATATTACAAAGCAAATTAGCAATCCTATATTTGTTTACAATAAGGCTTCACATTTGCTTTATTTTTTGTACGAGTCTCTTTCGTCTTATATGTAGCGTATTTCTTCAGAACATTGGTGATCATGGTTCTCCACAATTTCCTATCGTTTGTAGCTCCTAATAAATTTTCTCTTTTTGCCATAATTCCCAAACACTGCTGCGCCATCCATTATCTCAAGCTCGCTAGTTAGGTTATGTGTTGTCTTCCTCTGTCCCTCTTGCCTTCAGTCTGTCATGGAAGTATCAAATTTCCAAGCCTTCTTTCCTCATTATGTCCCCTAGAAATGTCAGTTCTCTCTTCCTGATATGAAGTATAAGTGTCCTTTTTGTTTCCATTTTCTCTAAACTTCGATATTACTCACATGTTCGGTTCATGTTATTCTCAGTATCCTTCTGTAGAACCACATTTCTCTTACTTGAGGTCTCTTCTTCATCTGAGAGAAGAGTGTCCAACATTTATTGCTGTATAGAAGGACTGATATTACATAACGTTTCAATACTCTTTTCTCTGTTTCTAACGATATTTCTCTGTTTCTTAATACTTTGCTTAGCTTTTGGAAGACATCTTTGGCTATCACAGTGCTCTTTCGGACTTCCGTGTCGCACTTAGCATCTTCGGTTGAAACGCTTCCTAATTATTTAAATTGTTGTACTTGTTCGATTTTTGGTTTATCTAATTTGTAATTTGCATTTTGGGCTTTTCCTTTTACTAACGACCATACATTCTGCCTACTCGTAATTGATGCTTATTCCTTTCTTCGCGCTTTCCTTCACTAACTTCTGTAGGACTTGTAGTTTTCGTTCTGTATCTGTTATCAATATTGTGTCATCTGCATATGTTTTAACTCTCTCAGAATCATCGCACTGTGTAGCTTGAATAAGCCTTGTGAGAAGACATATCTTTGTCTTACACCCTTTTCTATTTTTGCATATTTACCTAACTAATTTTCTATCTATATGCATCCGGTTTACTGATAGTATAGGGCTTGGATTATTCTAATCTCCTTCACAAATATGTCAAGGGCTACCAAGAATTCCCATCTTCTTTGTAACTTATTTCATCGAACGCTTTTGCAGAATCTTTAAAACGCAGATACACCTGATTCTGCATTTTTATTTCTCTTTCTAATATCATTCCCTGCATAAATATAGCATTCTTTTTTTTCCCCCGGTGTCTTTAATAAACCCGCCCCGCACTATTCTTGCTGTGTTTACGATCTGATACTTCTGTACGCTCTATTCATCAGAATTCGGATGAAAAGCTTTCATATATGTCTCATTATACTGATTGTTCAATGGAGTTCACATGCATTTGCCCCTAGGTTTTTAGTGCTATGAAAATAGCTCTACTTCGATCTCTCGGTATATCCCCGCTGTTGTAGATTTCATTTAGTATGTCTGTAATCTTTTCATTTCCGAAACGAAGCCATCTAAAGCTGCCCGCGTCTCTATTACAATATCGTCTGGTTCTGTTGATTTGTTTCTGTTCAATTTGGCAAGATTTAATTTCACTTCTATTAGGTTGGTGCAAAAATAATGTCGTTTTTGACGTTCAACTTCAAAAGATCATAACTCCTTTCATAATAAACTTTATTAATCGAAATAAGAACCATTAGAGTCGACACATTTTTGACAACGAGAAACAAGTTTATTTATCCGATTAGCATAGAAATCCGGAGTTCTGGAAACGATGAAGTCATTGAAGGCCGATTCGGCATCATCTCGGCTTTTGAATCATTTTTCGCGCAGGAAGTTGTCGAGATGCTTGAAAAAGTGATAATCGGTGGGCGAGAGGTCCGGTGAATATGGCGGATGAGGCAGAGTCTCGTAGCCCAATTCTTTCAGCTTCTGCAGGGTCAGTTGAGCAACATGCGGGCGAGCGTTGTCATGGAGGAGAATTGGTCCCTTCATATTGACCAATCTCGGGCATATACGTTGGAGCTTCTGGTGCATTTCGTCAATTTGTCGGCAGTACTTCTCCGCCGTAATCGTTTCGCCCGGATTCAAGAAGCTGTGATGGATGAGACCAGCCGCAGACCACCAAACAGTCACCATAACCTTTTTTTTGGTGCAATTTCGGATTCGGGAAGTGTTGTGGAGCTTCTCCGGCATCCAACCACTGTGCCGAATGTCGCCGGTTGTCGTAGAGGATCCACTTCTCATCACACGTCACAATCCACTCGAGAAATGGGTCGTTGTTATTGCGCAGAAGGAGCATAGAAGACACCTCAAAACGACGATTTTTTTGATTATCGTTCAATTCATGCGGCACCCATTTATCCAACTTTTCTGACTTCCCTATTTGCTTTAAATGGCGAACGACTGTTGGGTGTGTCGACCTCGAGTTCAACAGCAACTTTCGTGTGGTTTTCCAAGGATCGGCTTCAATTAAGGCTTTCAAATGTTCGTTATCAACCGCAGTCGGCCGGCCGCGACCGTCTTCATCTTCGAGGCTCTCGTCATCATTGCGAAATTTCTTGAACCACCGTTGTGCCACACGTTCGTTAGTGGTTCCTGGGCCAAACGCATCATTGATATCACGAGCTGTCTCGGCAGCTTTTCGGCCTAGTTTGAACTGGAACAAGAAAATCGTGCGGATTTGAATGTTGTCCATGCTGTCGAAAAGCCTGCAAAAAATGAATGAAAAGATTGAGAACGGTAACAAATAACACGATTCGATAGAGCGAAAAACGCGCTTCAAAATGATATATAACATGGCTATATATATCAATGAATTAATTCAGAAATCGTATATAAAAGTAACATATGTGAAAAAACGACATTATTTTTGTACCAACCTAATATATTTCTGTCTTTGCCGCTTGTTCTCTTTCGTCGTGAAAATGTTCTACGATACATTCGTTCCAAATCTGGAGTATTTCTTCATTCTCTAATATTAGTGTCGCTTCCTTGGATTTTATGCATCTTGTTAATGAGCATCTCTTTTGTCCTATTAGTTCTCTTATTTATTAAGGCTCATCTGCTTTATCTGTGATAATTATTTCTTCTATTTCTGAACGTTTTTCGTTGAGGCAGACCTCTTTACTCCGCTTGCATTTTTTTTCATAATTTCTTCGTGCTGAGCCCAATATTTTGTGCCATACATTGTTTTTTGGCTACTTTTAATCAATGCCGAGAATTTCATCTGTCATCCATTTTTTCTTTATTTATCTTTGGGATGATCTCGACTGCTGATATTATTAAAGATTCTCTTAATTTGTCCCACTTCGGGTTTCCATTTTCATTTTATCTATTTTATGATTTAACATTGTTCATATATTTTTCCTTCACATTCCTGTTACTCAAGAGTCTGTCATGTTGCAATTTGGGTGCTGTCTTGGCGCTCTTCAGTTTCCGTACTTTCACTCGAAGTTTCCATATGACTGGAAGGTGGTAGCTTCCACGGTCGAAAGCGTAGGTTTTGCAGTGTGAAACTCCTTTCCTGAATCTCTTATTGGTAGTTAACTTGGCCGAAATGACTTGTATATCTTATAAGACGAGTGATCTTATCGCAGCCCATTTTTATTCCACCTTTACGTTACTTACTTTAAATTTCGGTGGATGTACGGCTGAGAAATCAACAATAATATGAAGAAAAGACTAGGCGAAAATTAATAGGTTTTATCTGAAGGCCGGGAAAGGCACGTGCCATTGTATGAAGCTTGGCGGGAAAGAAAGGTAATGAATTAAAAGGTAAATGAGAACAAAGAAAATGAAAATTGTTTGAATTATGAAGCCTGAGATTCAGACTTTGCCATTTCCACTGCATTTTTTCATCATTTTTTTACTCTTCACTGTTTCATTTCTTTATTCTTTTTCTATTTTTTCGGTCTTTCTTCAGTTTTATTCCCCCTTTTTTTATTTTACTTTCTTCTTTTCGTTTCTACTTTTTATCCATTTTTCTTTCTTTTGTTTTCTTTCTTTTGATCTTGTTTTTTGTCGTGCAGTTTTCTTTCTCTTGCTTTCGTTTTCTTTTTAAAAAAAAATTCATGAGACAAGGAAAATTTTTCATATGAATTTTTTTTTTTTTAACTATTTGACCATTTTTTCTGTTGTCTCTTCTTCTCGTCTATTTTATTTCCCATTTTTGGCCTCCTTTACTTCAATAATTTCTTTTGTATTTGTCATCTGTTGTTTACTTTTTTTTATCCTATTTTGCCTCTCAGCTTTATTTTATTCATTTTTTGTTTCTTCCTTTTAAATTTTGTGCCATTTTTCTCGGCTGTGATTATTTTTTCTTCTTCTTTTTTATCTTCTACTTCTTTTTCTTTCTTTTTCTTTTTTTCTTCTTCTTTTTTCTTCTTCTTTTTTATCTTTTACTTCTTTTTCTTTCTTTTTCTTTTTTTCTTCTTTTTTTTCTTTTTTTCTTTTTTTATCTTCTACTTCTTTTTCTTTCTTTTTCTTTTTTTCTTCTTCTTTTTTCTTCTTTTTTATCTTCTACTTCTTTTTCTTTCTTTTTCTTTTTTTCTTCTTCTTTTTTCTTCTTCTTTTTTATCTTCTACTTCTTTTTCTTTCTTTTTCTTTTTTTCTTCTTTTTTCTTCTTCTTTTTTATCTTCTACTTCTTTTTCTTTCTTTTTCTTTTTTTCTTCTTCTTTTTGATCATTCCATTTTTCTTTTGTTTTTGATTTTGTTCGTAATTAAAAAAATAACTCAATTATTTTATGACCACCTCTTCCTCCTCCACCTTCTTCTTCTCTTTTTTCTTCTTCTTCTTTTTCTTCTTCTCTTTCTTTTTTTTCTTCTTCTTCGTTTACTTAATCTTCTTCCTTAATATTCTAGCGATTTCTCTTTTTTTCTAGTTTTGTTGCTAAACTTTCTTCTTTTTCTTCTTTTTTCTTCTAATTGTTTCACAATCTTCTTCTTTATTTTTCTCCTTTCCGCATTTATTCTTCATTACATATTCATTTTTCTTATAGTGTTCTTCTATGCCTTCTTTTTCCTTATCGCTTCTCTCCTCTTTTTTCTCATTTTATCTCACCTTTTCTTTCTCTTCTTTTATTCCTTTGTCTTTTCTTCTCATTTCTTTTTTTCTTTTATTGCTCGCTGTATTACTTTCTGTCTTAGTTTTCTCTTTTCCATGTTTTACTATTGTTTCTATTTCTTCCTTTTTCTTTCTTTCCGTCTTTCTTTCTTTTTCCTTTTGCATCTTGGATTTCCTTTTCCCTTTTGCACTTTATTTTCTCCTTATCAATCTTTACTTTCCTCATATTTACCTTTTCTTGCTCACCATCTTCATATCGCATCGCTTCTTCCAACAAATAAAAACTTGACCCCCCAAAAAATCCTCATGCATGGACGAATGTGTTGAAAATTTTCAACCATCAAAAATCACGCAATGTTTTAAGCGGAACGTTTGTCCCATTCCTCTCATATTGCATCCACCCGCTATCAGTATCATCCGGGTGGAGTACCCGAAACTTACCTCAAACCATTGGCCTGAAATATATCCCTCTATTTGGTCCTGAAGCTGCCGCCGTACACATCTGCCCCATTCATCACGGAGGTTTTTTGGGAATTCATGTACTAGGGTTATACCTACAATGGAGAAAATCATCAGACGAAATTAATAAGCAAAAAACGGATTACTTGATAACTACTGAGAGGTTAACAATATAATATTTAACAATTTCTTAACCAGACTTGCCACCAAAACGTGTTATATTCCCTCAAGTATATCTATCTATCTATCTATCTATCTATCTATCTATCCCGATGATCGTTTAAGGCGTAAAACCTCAGTTCAATGAATTCTGACATATATATATCATCACAGTTAATATCTATATACGGTCTCTCCCTGATATTGATCACTTCCATCTTTTTATTTAATGATATGACACTTCCGGGCGTAGGGACTCATGACTCTTCACATATTATTTTTTCTTTACTATCTATGAATTGCTATGCATTCTTGAGAAAAATACTGGGGTGGTTTCCCATTACCGTCTTCAATATTTGGAAATATTTCCTTCTCTATGATTGGTTGTCAAACTGAGAGCCAACTTTATTTAACCTGTACATGGAGAAAAATATAAATTCAGGTCTTTCTTATGGACATTAGTGCGACAGTGAACGCAACAGACTACCCCATACACACACTCAAACAAACAAACACACATACATATATATATATATATATATATATATATATATATATATATATATATATATATATAGTGATTAACTAAGCGTAGCTTTTTTGACACAAAGGCTGAAAGTATGGGGCACCAAGTGAGAATCGAACTCACTACTCAGTCGCATATAGAGGGGCATAAAGCACTTGGGACAATAGGCACTACGGACAATTTTTACATGCCCCTTAACCCAACGGAAACATTTAAGAGTACTAGAAAAACAATAAAAACAAAGCATGTTTGAAAGAAAAGTTGCTGTCTATATATATATATATATATATATATATATATATATATATATATATATATATATATATATGTGTGTGAATAAATAACAGTTTGCTATTTTCGAACTAACGAAGAATAAACAAAAGAACTTGTTCGCATTTTAAAAGGTTAGAAATCTCCCCCACCCATAAAATATCCATACAACAGTGAACAAGGAAACTTGAAACTAGGTGTAGTCACCTGGAATCTAACAACCCCAATGCCTTTAGCAAATAAAATTTACCAACAATAAGGGTGGAAGGAATATGTGAAACTGACAAAAACTCTTACATGAATGATTCAAGTATAAGGGATTGTTTTTTTACGGCTTATCAGCCCTAATGAATCAAGTAACATCATTTACTGGGAAATCAAATTTACTGAGGTTTCTTTACAACGTAATACGATTTATTTCGAAATATAATAAAAAAAACTGAAAACTTGAAAAAGAACTATTTATCTATCTATTGGTCGGTTACTTTTCGTTTTCCGAGCTCACCCATATTTTAGGGCGGCTAGTCAATCCCTGTTGCAAACACCTGGTCAAACACATTTGTCGTTGTTCATCACTCACAGTGCCGACCTGTGGTTTATACTGCATCTATGCTAAGCGGTACATTCGATAGATTTTCTCGGATAGAGAGCACAATCTGACATGGAACATAAACAAAGCTCAATGTCTCGGTCACAATGACTTGCGACTTCGTGATTGCATAACCATCGATGGCTTCCGAACAGTTCCAAATACCCAATTTCAGTCAAGCCGGGTATGGTTTTCAGGCATTTTCAGGCAGAGAAAGTGTTGCACACTTCCCCAGATCGATAACATCAAGAAGTCACCTTCATGATAAATCGAACATGGAGGGATTCGAAGCCGTGTCGTATGGTCGAAAAGTGAACGTTCAAATCATTCATACACGCCCCCATATTATCTATCTATCTATCTATCTATCTATCTATCTATCTATCTATCTATCTGTCTGTCTGTCTGTCTGTCTGTTGTGGTAGGATCCACCTAATTTGCATAGTGGAGTACCGACCATATAAATATAGTTGGTACCGGGAAGAGAGGGAGGAATCAAAAGATTCAACCAGAGACTCTGCCCGACTGCGACTCAGTCAACACATTCTCCAGGAACGGGCTTACCAGGAATATACAAAAGACTATATGTAAATATTGTGTACACTTTCTTGTTTCAATACATTTTGTTCTAAGTACATTTTGTGTTGCATTATTATTCCATGCATTAGTCAAGTTTCAACACTATCTAAGACAGAGAAAGATAGTAAAAGTAAAAAAGGTACTTAGGGCATCACCTGGCAGGAAGTTTTGGAGAGCCGTGATAGCCCGCATTAGTGAAGTAGAAATCAAATGTCAAACTATATCGATCCCCTTTCCGGCTAAGTTATATTTTTTCCTCCTCTTTAGATATTTACAAAATTCTCCACATAGGCAATAACTTTATTATTAGTTTTGAAAAAATATCTGTCGTCTTTTTGTCATGATCACTTTGGGTGCACTTTTTCAATACTTATGTTATTAATTAAAATTTACGTTAGAAATAATTGTTATTTCTTAGCAGATTATTTGTGCTATTAACATTCGGAGTATTGTCATTATTTTCATCATTATTATCACAACGTTTGCGCCCTCCCGCCTTCGTTAGGTGCTTATAGACCTAGGTAACCTTCTGGAAATTTCCAACTGAACACTTTATTCAATCTACAGGGGGTAGTCATCTTGTCTAGTCAGTTATTCCTCGATTTAGAAATTAAACTCATATTTACTATGTCGACAAATTCAACGTTTTAATTCACTAAGCTTCTTGCAGATATTTAATGTTAGGTATCGATTTTCCAACTATTAAAATGAGTTTCGATTCGACTTTTAAATCCCCGTCGATTCGACTTTTAAATCCCCGTCGATTCGGATGATCAAGGTTTGTCAATGTTTAGCTTCTCCATATGGAATTTGAGGAAAATCCGAAGCAAAGTGCATGAAAATTAACAAAGCAGTTCAATACAAGACAACTTCGATTATAAAATATCTTGCTGAACTGTGAAATGCGTCTAACCTTGGCTAGTATGTTCCTCACAACCACACTGCTTTTCACCTTATTTAAAGAAGAGTGGACTTGATATTGAACATTTCCTGATTAGAATCATCACTGGTGTTGTAAACTGGGTTGTCCGTAACCATATCCTATGAAAATAAGCAGGATTAGCACCCATTCAAAAAGGAGTATCCATCTCAAAACAAGGACTACACTGGAAAAAAGTTATGCTCTATGTTTATCGTAATATGAAAGGTAATGTCAATAATGAAGTACTAAAGCAAAATTGTCCTCGGTATGACGATAAACTACATCTGGCAGCCAAGGTCTCTGATCGGGAGATTGGAGGTTTCGTGGATCCTGGAATTACCTATTTAATTGTTGTTTTTTCAGGTCCATCCTGACACGGGGTGGTAATAGCTGTTAGGGTCCTAGCTATGAACAAATAACGAACTCCTCAAACAGAAAAAAAAACTATGAAAATATAAAAGTACATGTTTATAGTTAAATTACAAACAATAACTCTTTATAGTAGAATTAACAACGATACATTTTATAGCAAAATGTCCCACATTACATATTATCTGTATTTGAAGATATGCAGTTGCGTTCAAAATATTTACCATAAAATATTTACCATAAAATTTTGTACAAGATATTTAGATTTCAGAATATAACCCATATAGATTAATATGCTGCCAAACAAAATTAACCACACAAATAACATAAAAGAACTCTTTCATGACATTAATCCATGTTCCCTCGAGTTTCTGAAAGAAATAAAAATTACTACAAAATATAACTTCAACTAAACTACAACATAAAACACACATATAACAGCCTCTAGTAATCATGGCCATACAAACATTAAATTTCGACATTAAATGACCCATAAGATGTTGATATGTCGTTAAACAAACCAAAACAAAAATTTATTGCGAAGTACAGTCGTCAACTGCAAGCACTGCACAAAACATTTGCAGAAACAGCGCCCATATTGTTTAATCGTGGATGCGTGTTGATCTTTTACTATAATGCAAGATCTCGTATTGCCTGATTAATCGATTATAGATCTAAATAATCGATCAGATAATCATCGTTTTAGATCATTGTAAGATTTTTTAGAAGGAAAACAGTTTATTAATTGTAGAGAGGTTAAAACTCATATTGAGTATTTTTTGTGGTAAAAACTTTACGCTCGATAGATCAAAAATTTGGCAAGTACACGGGATTTTTATTCTAATTATTGTCTTCATCTTTGATTGCTATAGATGTTATTAGAGAAACGAGGTTTCGGACAAGTACCATCCTGCCATCGTTAGGTGTTCATTATTATGTGATATCATATATGTGTTGATTATTGTATTATATTTGAACCTATAGTGATGGTTCTTGTTTGTTCCTGCTAAACTAATGTATATTGTTTTCCTTACTTGATCCAGGGATTGAAAGCACGGCCACTAGATAGAAACATTTGACTAATCAACGCACTTCACATATCCACTTCGCCATGGTCCCAAAGGATATCAGCAGTGTAATTAAATCTATATTCGGTTTATGTTATTGATAATAAAAGGGAAACATAATCTCGAATAAAAATATAAATTAAAACCGAAGAAGCATTCATTTCTTTTCTATATCCAGACGCGACAGAATTTTCTTTCCACATTAGTATATGTTCTATGTAATTATCATCATTATTGTTATTTGGTGTTGTTCCTGTTGTTAATGGTGGTGGTTGTAATAGTGGTGATACCTTGTTCTAAATAGTATCATCCCCTTTTGTTATGGAAAGCAAAGTAGTATTTTCTTAGGATTTGACTAGTGTGCATCTTTATATAAAAAAAAAGCAACAAAAAAAAAAACCCCAAAAAAAACAAAAAAAGAAAAAAAGAAAAAAGAAAAGAAATAAAAAATGAAAGAAAGCAGTGTGTATATTGGTTGATTATGAAGAGGACTCTTAAAGCGCCGTCACACCAAACCGCAAATTAGTACACACTCATCTCAATGTGCACAATCCACCTTCGTAGCCACCCGTCCCCCACAATTCATCCGGATGAACTTTGAATCAACCTTAGCAGTTATGAATTCAGTTTTCCAATTCACTATCGTCAGACACCTCCCAAAAGACAGTAGTTTTTCGTATTTCTTTTTTTTTTTTCATATCCCTTTTGTAGAATTTAAGCAAAGCTTTTCTTCCTTCCCATTTAAGCTATTTATTCACTTCCTAGCACAATACCCGTCAAAATTATTTACTCGGGAAATGCTGCTTCTAACTATTACTGGAATATCTGAGCGCTCTCCCTAGCATCAAATTATAGCGCCCAGACCCTCTCCCTTATATCAATGCAGTATCTGTGCTCTCTGCATAAGTTAGTATTTGAAAATTTGCCATAATGGAAATGTCGCTTGCCATTTTTTAAATAAATGTTCGTCTACTACATGAGCCACTCAAGGTAGATGGTTACTAAATGAGGGCAGTGTAAGGACGTAGCGAGAGAAATATGTGCATACTATGAGGATATGTAACCTTTGGTTTGAGACTTGAAGAGATTAACATTTTAGGGTTCTGAGGAGTCTGCGCCATAAAGTAACGGTTCTTGGAAAGAAACTCTTCAAATGGAACATACTTCTTACCATTGGAATAGGAAGGGAACGAGGATCTTAAATGTCTGAAATGGTGAAACTAGGGAATGTATATTATCAGAATAATTTCCATAGAAATAGCGATAGTGTAGGGAAACGCTTGCGCCTGTGGGAGACGCGCTGTTCAGTGCAAAATAATCCATCACTTACAAGGCGCTTTTGAACCCTGCCAAGGCTGGAAAGAAAGGATTTGCTACTTCCAGATCAGATAATGAAATATTGGAAATGTGATTAACTGATTTGTTTTGTAAGGCTTGTTAAAATTTGTAAAGTCGAGACATATTTTCTATTGTAAGAATAATTCTTTTTTTTCGCGAGTAATATTTTTTTTCAGAATAACAATGATTTCCAGATACAACTCCTACTATTTAACCTATAGTAGGGAGAATGAATTCAATCTTGGAAAGCTCAAGAGACAAGGCAGCGAAACATCAACATCTTCAAGGAGTATGCGCCACAACTAACTGGATCAGTTGTCAGAGTACAGTAGTAACCGTATTGCTATAAGATAGAGAATTCGACGTGGGAGTTAACTGCGACATCTCGCGTCGCCTGTGGACGGTAGATAACTCTGTACAGACAAAATGGTACAGACGTGATAGGCACAATCCATTGTACCGTTTTATTCATTGAGTTAATAAGTATTTCTCTTTACTTTTTTCTTTTTGGGATTTACATCCTATTTTTTAAATAAATGTTTTTCTCACATGATACTTTACAAATATTTTCGAAACTAAGTAGAGCTTGACACAAAACAACATTTAATATATGTAAGTGTGCCATTATATGTGTTTTTTCCTATTCTTATTCCACGCAGTCACTGACTCAGTTCTTCTTTCTTTCTTTCTTTCTTTTTTTTTTTCTTTCTTTCTTTTTCGCTTACTGTGTTAGTCATTCATTCTTTTCGTCTTTCTTTTTTCTTCTTTGCATACAGATTTTGTTTTTCTTTCTCTCTTTCATTCTTTTCTCCCTCTCTTTCTCTTTCGTTACCTTTCTTTTTTGTTTCTTTCTTTACGTAATTTTCATTCTTTTATTAGTATTTGTCTTGACGTTCGTTCTTCATTTTTTTAACCTCACGATTTCTACGGTTTTCTTTCTTTCTTTCTTTCTTTCTTTCTTTCATTCTTTCTTTCTTTCTTTCGTCTATTTTTTTTATATTTCTTTGGTTTGTATTTTCTTATCATTCATTTATTCGTTCATACTTCCATTATTCTTTTTGTCTTAGCTTCCCATATTTCTTTTTATTCGCGTAACTCTTACTTTTTCTATCTTTATTCTTTCATTTGTTGCTCGCTCTAATTTTCCTTTCTTTTGCCCTTCTTTTTTTCACATCACTCTTTCTTTCTTTCTTTCTTTCTTTCTTTCTTTCTTTCTTGTTTTGCATTCATCTATCTTTCTTTTGTGCAAAAAATCATCATCTCTTCTTTCTGTACACGTGCTCCGAGCGGAGAAATTCTAATTGGGGCCCAATTTACTTCACCATCCCCACTATCGCACTTCATTCTGACATCCTCTTTCACCTCGATATTACAACGACCACCACCACAACAACCATCACCACCACCCCTTATCCTCGTTACCTACAATTCTATACATATATCCAAATAACACAATTCATTCGTCTTACCTGTTTTCCAGCATTGCTATACTTAAAAAGAAATGAAGAAATGCCTCTACAGCCAATCCCTTGTATCCAATATAGCCGACCCCACTAAAAAAAAAACCCTACATCAGGGGTAAAGTAACTGTAAGCATAATGATATTATCTGTGCAAGGAAATTCCGGAATCTGTCATACCTTTTTATGTTCGATGAGATGTCACTTAAATCTAAAATTAACATTAAATACAGCAAAAATACTAATAGTCTTAGCAAATTTTACAAGAGAAATCCACGTCTTTTTAATTAGTAAAAATTAATGAATTAAATAAATAAATCCGTCGCTTAATGATAGAAAGAAGCGTTCATTTTACATAACAGTTACTTATTACTAGTTTAACTGGGACAAACCTGCAAATTTGAACACCTCTAAAACAAAACTATTTTCATTTAATCCCAACAGAGTATATTTTCTGCCTACTATCAACATGGCTGATGCTAACCTCTAGAAGACTAACTCTTTGCATCTTCTTTGGCTCACGATTTCCACTGACATGAAGTAGAGTGATTCTATTGAAATGCACAATTCCGCCGTGCATTGAATATTGTTATGGAAAGCAAAGTAGTATTTTCTTAGGATTTGACTAGTGTGCATCTTTATATAAAAAAAAAGCAACAAAAAAAAAACCCCAAAAAAAAACAAAAAAAGAAAAAAAGAAAAAAGAAAAGAAATAAAAAATGAAAGAAAGAGAAAAGCAGTGTGTATATTAGTTGACTATGAAGAGGACTCTTAAAGCGCCGTCACACCAAACCGCAAATTAGTACACACTCATCTCAATGTGCACAATCCACCTTCGTAGCCACCCGTCCCCCACAATTCATCCGGATGAACTTTGAATCAACCTTAGCAGTTATGAATTCAGTTTTCCAATTCACTATCGTCAGACACCTCCCAAAAGACAGTAGTTTTTCGTATTTCTTTTTTTTTTTTTCATATCCCATTTGTAGAATTTAAGCAAAGCTTTTCTTCCTTCCCATTTAAGCTATTTATTCACTTTCTAGTACAATGCCCATCAAAATTATTTACTCGGGAAATGCTGCTTCTAACTATTACTGGAATATCTGAGCGCTCTCATTAGCATCAAATTATAGCGCCTCGACACTCTCCCTTGTATCAATGCAGTATCTGTGCTCTCTGCTTAAGTTAGTATTTGAAAATTTGCCATAATGGAATTGTCGCTTGCCATTTTTTAAATAAATGTTTGTCTACTACATGAGCCACTCAATGTAGATGGTTACTAAATGAATGGTTACTAAATTGAATATTGCTACCATATCTGGTCTTTTGCTCCTATAATATATCTTGAGATTCTCCGCAAAATTAAAGGAAGGGTCTGTAATGTAATCGATACTAACCTGGCATCTCGACTTCAGTCACTTTCTCACCGACCTGACGTGGATTCGTTCTGTCTTTTATACAAATATTTTCGTGGTAATTCTTCTGATGAGATTTCCTTCTTGCTTCTACGACCGCAGGAATTTAAGCCTGCGACTAGAATGGCAACTAGCTGTCACCGTTTTTTTTGTTGTTGTTGGACTGTCTATATGTAACCGTAAGTTTAATTCTAATATTTTCTTTTCTTACTTCGTTGCTACTTATAATCTTCGAAAAATTAAATGCAATGCCAATCACTATCATCTGTCTTAATCCTGATTTTTGTTGTTCTTTCTCTTCACAAAAGTCCTCTCATTCTCTTGTATCCCCAGTAACCCCTTGCGTCTTAGTGGCATTATCGCCTTGCTTGGAGTGAAATGATTAAAACATGACAAACATAATTCCCTTTATTTAAAATACACTTTCAAATTTAGCTATGTTTAAGGCTACGGACTTGCTGTTACTTCGTTGTATATACTTTGGTTAGTAAAAAGACAAATATGTTCTATTCTTTACTTTACTTTATATCACTGGCATAAAACGCAGCACTAATCTATAAAATAGTAAATTGTGCATGATAATATCATGTGAAATGGGATGAACTAACAAGTAATGAATCTAACTAGTGCTACTGAATTTTGAAAGACAATTCTTCTGATTAGTAGCCCAAGTTATCTTAGCTTATTTTAATGCGTAGAACGAAAAAGTAACAAGTAACGAAATTCAGTACTTGACAGTCACTAAAAAAAAAAAACGGGATTCAATATTTAGTTTCACTTTGTTTTCAAAAATAGCCCAGTTTAGTAGTAGGCATCCGTTTGTCTCTCAAGATGAAGGTAGCGCCCTGTTTGGGTAAACATCAAATGAAAAAGTACCCGTCAAAGACTTATAGGGGAGATAGCCTGTTTGCCTGGAAAATGAGAGTTAAATGTTCCAGATATTACCCGGACTCTAGCACTATTCTCTGGAATTGATAGGAATTAAACTACTCTCCCTGCCAAAAAGAGGCTCACATACTTACTGTGGTAAGCATATGTATTCTGTAATATGCAAACATATAAGTTTGCTTAATATATTTGGGAACCTATTCTTATTAAATTCTAATGTCTATAGGTAATACATTGACTTTTGGCCAATCCAGAAATGAACCTTTTAGATATTACGCTTAATTTATTCTTCTACAAGGACATAATTGTAAATCGGGTATGGTTTACGTAAGGATCACAATCACTATATGAGCGGATAGGTTAAAAAGACTAGTCTGTTTGCTATGACTTCATATCTAAAGCCCACAATTGGACTGTTTATATATATATATATATATATATATATATATAAATAAAGATAACATACACTTAATACACACATCCCATAAAAAACTTGAAAGAGGCCGTTTAATCAATAAAAAGACTGACCAAAATTAACGCTAAAAAACAACTGAAAACTACAGATAAAGTTCACTTTCTTCAGAGACAGTAATTCACTCCTGTAGTTTACTGCTATTAACGAGCAAGGATTTTTTCTCCTGATGATGGCCATGCTGGCCGAAACTAGTCGAGGAACCTAATTGAAATAATAAATCAAAAAATATTCATATTTTTGTTGTTGCTCAAAACATATATATATATATATATATATATATATATATAGGGAGAGAGAGAGAGAGACACACACACAAAACACACACACACACACACACACACACATATATATATATATATATATATATATATATATATATATATATGAGTGTGAAAGTGGTTATGTAGATCGATTTACCAGTATATTTCTATTAAATTGTTAACTAGTTTTTAAACAATTTTAAAGAGATTAATCTGCCCTGCGATTTCAACCATAACATCTGAAGCAGGATAAGAAATGGTTATTTTCCTTTTTCTTTTCTTTTACAAGGCTATTACTGTGCAGTGGACACAAACTTCAAACCGGAAGTTTCAGATCGCTATGCAGTTTTCCATTTTACCGTCTTGTTAACCGTCAGCCTACTCGTATTTTTAAGTTAATTTCTACACCGTGACAATTCGAAACGTTAATTCTGACACCGAGAAAAAATTCAAAAGGTTAATTTTGACACTATAAAAAAAATTAAAATGGTAATTTTGATATCGTGGAAAAATTAAAATTTATTTGTGTAGAAAGATTGTATTTTATCAGTTAAACAAGTTGATAAGGCTCCCCTTGGAAATTACATTCATAATCTTAGCTTTCTACCCGATTTCGAAGACTCCTTCTTTGCTCCAGTCGGAAATTTTTTTTCTTGTGCACTATTCGCTTACGTAATGGGTTTGAGACTCACAATCGCTACCCTACTCTTCTGCTAAGTATAGTAAATATTTGAACATATAGACGCAGAACAATAGCGAGATAGTGAGGGAAGAAGTGGCAGATCATCGTGACCGACGGTTGAAAGGTTTTGTCATTTTTTTAATTTTAAAGAAAGAATAAAATATCCCTACTTTAACTATTAGTACTTGATTGCTACTAAAGATATTGATAATTTGTGAATTTTATATAAGCTTTTTGGTTTGTAAAAAAAAATGGTTGTTCAAAATGATTATAAGAACGAAGAAGGTGGTAAAAATAACTGGAGTTGATAAGGAAAAAGGAGGCAAATGGATCAATATCTCCGCAAGATTTGATTGGGACTAAAAGGTATTGATTCTTGTTTGATATATAAGCAAAATGGGGGAAATAGTTGTGACAAAAGGATTAAAAGAAGGAAGTCGGTGAAAAAAAGAAAGAGGAGTAGAGCTGATGATTGGTTAAAAATTAGGAAAGAAAGAAATGATTGCATGATTGGATTATGTGATTATCTGGAATAAATTGGAAGAATAACAGGCTGAAGCGAAAGAGAATAATAATTTCTCAAAATTGTTAGGGTTGATTTTGGTATATTTGGCTGCGGTGCGTGTGTCTGCTATACACTTATTAGGCTTTGTGTTAGGATGTGTATATTGGGCTTCATATATTTGTAATCCAACCTCATTTTTTGAGTACTGCTCTTACTCATTATTATTATTATTATTATTATTATTATTATTATTATTAATAATAATAATAATAGTAATAAATCTGTTGTAACCTAGAATGGGTTACTTAATGAGGAATAACAAAAACGGACGTTGGAAATCAAATGGTAATCGTTATAACATCAACAAAATACAATACTCGCCAGCGGCTGAAGTAGGTAAACCACTGCTAGTGGTGGACTACTTAGAGAACATTACCACCACTTAGAATAGAGCCCAAGGTATTTATGAGGATTGAGACATATCCATTAGTGTTCATAGGTAGGGTATATAAGAAAACCTCAAGAAGTTTTATGTGTAAATTCGAAAAGCAATTGTAGAAGTAAAAATCCCGCCATCTTTTGAAAAAAAGAGAAAAAAATTTTGAGAAATTTGGAGC